GGGATCGACTTCACGTGCCCGAGATCAAGCCGATTGAGGCGTGGAAGGCGCCTACTCCATTGGAGATGTTCCAAGGTGCAGGTTTGAGTACTCAGTATGAACCACGATCGAGTTTTCACTACGATCCACGACCGAGTGCTTTCTACGACCCCAGTACGCAACATGAGCCTCGCCCCAGTTTCCACTACAATCCCCCTCAAGGTTACCACTATGATCCCCGACCGAATTTCCAATACAATCACTGGCCCAGTTTCCACTATGATCCCCGGCCCAGTAAAGTTCATGATGGCACATCCTCGGCTACTTGGGCCGATGGTTCATCCTCAAGTCCCCACCAAGACTTCTCACCTTTCCATCGACCGCAACAATAATGACAGTCCATTCCCCACCGTATGAGCGTGGATAGTCGTCGAACGCACACGGAGTGGCCACCTAGCACGGCACCGCGTCGTCATAGCACGGACCAACGCCCTTCTACGGAGAATAGGAATCTTCCAATACTTCCAACCCCTATTACACCCGGTGGACCAGTCGCCCACCGCACAAGGAAACATAGGGCGAATCGTCAAAATAATGCATGAGTGTGACAAGTTGTGTTTATTTCAAGTTATGTTTTGTTTAAGTTAAGTTAAACAAGTTGTTTTTATTTGAAGTTATTTTTTGTTTCACGTAGAAGTGTGTTTGTGTGAGTGATGTGTTTATTCAAAAAGATGGAACATTGCAAGTGTGTCAATTTTTCAAATCTCCAATGCCATTTAAGCACACAAAATACAAGTACGTAACCATTAAAATTAATACACTCTATGAAAATGCATGAAATCAATCTATGCGCCATTATCCGGGTTCACCACATCGAGCCCTGGATTTTGAGGACCAATTGGTCCGGGACATTTTCGTTTATCATGCCCTGGTACTTTGCATATGGAACACCGCCTTGGTCCTCGCGGTGTTCTTCCACTTTGATCCATCTCATTTGGAATCCTTTTTACCCGCGGGCGACCTGTTTCCCGCCTAAGTCCGATTGGTGGGATGATGACGTTACCCTCATAAACTGGCTAGTAAGCTTCATCCGGCAATGCATGAAAACTCTTACCATAACTGCTCTTTTATAAGTCGATGTTGAAGAACGGACTGACGAAATGACGAGGGTCTTTGCTCCTGTGCTTTATTACAGCCATTGCATGGGAACAAGCTATACCTCTACCCTGATACTTCTGACAAGAGCACTCCCTTTTTTTGGTCCTAAAGTTGACGGTGACTTCATGGAGATGACCCCCACGTCTCCCATCCTCCCAGTGCCCAGTCTCGACCGAATACTCGCCAGCATTTTGGTTCATAACAGTGACAGTGTGCCGTGAGCTCTTCCGATAATCTTTTTCCATTATTATGTGGCCTTATCAGAGTGTACCTTACCTTGTGCCTCCCTCTTCTCACACCAGTGGAGACGGTTGACGAACCATGCGTTAGTTTTTCAGAATGTCATCTCAATAATTGCAGAGATGGGGAGTGCACGACATTCCCTGTAGACGTTGTTGATACTCTCGCTTGAGTTTGTTGTGGCAATACCCCATCTGGTACCTCCGTCCTTATGAAACGACCACATTGCAAGGTCATGGTCATCAAGCCACTGCACACCTTCAGGGTATAGATGACGGATATTATGCATCTTCTCTTTAAATTTCTTCTCTTGGTAAGCCACAACTGATGAATATACGAACAAAAGCGTAAGGTAAGCAAGGCTTCCGTTCTGAGCTATACAAGTACACTCGTAAGACTCTTAGGATAGGTATACATCTCCTTAGAAACAAAGACTGTTTGACAGAAAAAGGGGGGATCCGACGATCGCTTAAAACACGATTTTCCCAGGAAATGGGAGGATCATGATGATCGCTTAAAACCTCATTTCCTTAGGCATGCATTACTTTATAAAGAGTCTAAATAAGTGTTGTATTGTATTGATTTAGTCCTCGTATTTCCAGTTGACAAAAGATATAGACCAATGAAATAGAACTCTTACCGATCCACCATAGACTATCAGCAAGCTTCTTTTGCTTGAAATGCCGTATGCACCATCTCTGTGACCAGTTCCAGGCTGGATCCAAGCCTAAGATAGCAGCCCTTATACCGGCGTGGCGATCAGAGATGATGGTTAGGTTCGTCCGCCTGGTGACATGGAGTTGAATTTTTCTGAAGAACCATCCATAGCTATCGATATTCTCTCCCTTCACAATGGCAAAAGCTAATGGATATACTGCTCTATTTGCATCTGCTCCGCTGGCGATCAGTAGAGTACCCTTGTACTTGCTGGTAAGGAATGTTCCATTAACTTGAATCATAGGAACACAGAATGGAAAACCTTCAATACATGGCTTGAATGACCAGAAAAGACGCTTGAAATGGTGCTTGTTACCAGGCACCGACAGCTGAATTTCTTCATCTTGGTAGAGAGGAGAGAAAATTGTGCCAGGGTTAGACACCTTCAACACAAAAATCAATCTGGGAAGGAATGCATATGATTCTTCCCAGTCACCAAACACGACGGTCATTGCTTTCTGTTTTCCATGCCACGCCTTCTTGTAAATAATGATATAACCATAACGACTAGAAATGTCGGCGATGAGGGTTTTAACCTTCAGGTCGGGCTGCTCCTCAATTAGAACTTTGATAGCCGCGACAACCACCCTTGATTTCAACTGTCGATGGCCTTGGGATGTTATTGATGACACACATGTGTGTGTGTTCACCGCACGGGATATGACCCAATGGCCGACTCTCTTGCTCTTGATGGCCCGGACCCTAGCTTTGCATCCCTCATTTTGATTTTTGCATCTAACCATCAGCCTCTTCGTGTCGGAATGGCTTGTGTGCCATTCAAAACTTTGAGTCATTGCTTCAGTGGAAATAGCATGCCGGACCTCATTCTTCGTTGCAAATTGCTGGCCCTTGGTAAAGCCAGTGAGTGGACCCCAAACTGGCACCTCTTGAGGCTCCATGCCGGCATCAACATACCAATCTTCATTTGGAATGTGATTGTAGTACGGGATATGTACACGGTCGCGAGGTACCTCATCACCATCTGCTTCTGAATCTGGATCGGAATCATCACCACCTTCAAGAGGATCAAAGTTGTCTGCACTGACATTGCCTTCTTCTTCTTCTTCTTCAACCTCAGGGTCACTAACTGGACTTGGATTGACCTCTTCTTCTATCTAATGATCATCATGAAAGGCACCTTCACCTTCACCAGCTCTGTAATGGTAGTTGTGGTAACTAACGCCGCTTTGGTAGAAGTTGTACTCGGGTGTGTACTGGTAGCCTGCTTGTTGGTTCCCATCCGCCTGTTGAGCTTCTTCTTCATATGATGGGAAGGATTAATGATGACTTCCAGTTCCATCATGATACTCCTGCCTCCAGCTCGAGTCTTGGTACTCCTGGTGGGGATGATCTTCGTATAATACACTCCCAGCGTGGATACCAGATGTTTGGCCATCTCCAAAATGACCTACACCGCCTTTGACCGCCTCGGTATAAACAAACATCTCCGCTTGTTTAATTTTATTGGAGGTCAAAAATTGGACCATGGCATCAACGTCCTCCTGAGTGGTAATGAGGAATTCCTCATTCCACAGCGACCCGCCATGTCTGTTTGGATATCGATACACCATACGATCAACTCTTCTAGTGTCATCCATGCAGGCAACCTCAGTGCACATTTGATAGAGCTCTTCAAGGATCGGTCTTGTACGGTCCTTCATTTTATAAAAATTGCCACCCACGTAACGTACACCCTTTTTGGTCTCTTCCGTGTAACCATTCCACCGCAACCCAAGCGTAAACCTTTGGAATGACATCTGCAATAAAACTGTAATTAAGTTACTGACATAAAAATCACAAATGAAAATGAAAAGTAATACAAAACAAACTTACCAATTAACGTTAATAGCAAAAACTAAATAATTTAAAGGTGCACAAGTGAAATTTGAAGAAGAAGGAGTGGAGTGAAGATTTTGAGCTTTCTGTACCTGCCTTTTATAGGCAAATTTTCAAACCGCGAGGGGGGGGGGGGGGGGGGGGCGGTTTTAGTCTACCATGCAGCCCCCACCCTGCAACCTCCTGCATGCCGACATGTCGGATGTCGGGTGACGAGGCACAAACCGCTGGAGGGGGGGGGGGTGCGGTTTATGTGTCGACATGGTAAAACGCTTCCCTGTGCAACGTTTTACCATGCCGACATATAACCGCTCCCTGAGGAAGCGGTTTGTGCTAGGGCATCCTTGAAAACCACTCATTCGAAGAGCATTTTCCAAAATAGACAAACCTCTTGTCGACCAGGCGGTTCTATGGTAAACAGCCGCCTGGGTGGGCGGTTTCTATTTTAACCGCCCTTGAGTGGAGCGGTTTATAATAAACAGTGGTAGATTTGGAAATTCTTGGGAATGGGTTGTATTTTTGCAATTTGTTTTTAAAACAGTGGTAGTTTTGGATTTTCCCCCTTATTTCATGCCCAAATTTTTTCAAATATGAGGGTTCCAAGTAAGTCCCTTAGCATTTTGCATGATTAATTGCTTTGAATCGTCAATTCTTTGTCTCTTTTTTCTCTACCAATGTTAAGGTCCATAGTGCGTGTTTTGTTTTTTTAGATAGATTTTTGCATGATTCTTTTATGTATCCGAGCTTTCATGTTCGAAAAATGATTGTGGGATAGGTTTGCGTGTTGAGCGAACCCAGTTCTCTTGGTTAGGTCATCGGAAAGGTGCTCACTTCTGTGCTTTCTCGCAAAAAACATAAAAAAGAGAGAAAAAGGAAAGAAAAAAAAAGTGGGGTGTAGCATCTAATGCAATATGTTGTGACAACCCGTTATAGAGTAATGAGACAATGTACATGGGAGATCGGATAGCTTTACCGCATCGATTTACATCTCTTCATTACTTCCATCCTCCCATGTACGTCCCTTCAATGGCCAAGGTATATGTAGACACCCCATTTTGTCCGGGCAACACATCATCGATTAAAATTTGTTACCGTGAATTTAGGTGGTTTAAATGTTAAGTCTTTAAGATTAAGCAATAGCAATAGCATTGGTCATAATTTGGGACCACGAAGTTAGCAATAGCTAACTTTAACTACCCAAGTTTGGTTGTTGAATTTAAACGCTAAGTTCTTGAGAGTTTGGACTTCGACATTGGGAGGAACATTAAAATTAAAGGAATGAATCATCTTAATAAAATAAATTATAATTACATCGAACATAAGTCAGAATTACATTTTGCAATTACCATCAACATAAATTACAATTAGTAAAAAATTTAGATTACAACCGATTGCATTAGTAGTCACGAGTGTAAGAAAGGGAAATTGGGCCCAAGTCAAAAGCCAACCAAAATGTCAACAGTCAACCAAAGTCAAAAGCCCAATCATTTGTGAACCAAGCCAACTCTTAAGTCAAACCAAACTCGGCTCTGACCAAGTCAGACCGGTCCAACCCAAAACCACAACCGACACTGTAGCATACTTGTTCCCCAAGCCAGTTTTCTATAAAATGAACCTTCGGCTCTTGCAAGAGGGGGGATTCTAGAGCTTCCTCTCCTCCTCCTTCCTCTTCATTCCCATCGAGAAAACAGAGGCTTCCCTCTTCCCTTTCTCTAGACAGCAACAAAATTCCTCCCACTTTTCTCCTTTCTGACCCAAAGACACAGCAGGCAGGAGACAACATAAAAAAAATCCCCATACTCTTGCCTTCCTCCTCCCACTTTTCTTTGTCCATCTCCTACTCAAAACATACACAAACAGAAGACAAAAGACAAAAGAAGCTACAAAGATCCCTAGCACCAGCATACTACCACTGCCACCACAGCAAAAACACGAAGAAGGAGACAACATCGGAGGTTCAGAAACATCATAAAACAACGAGTGTAAAGGTTGGTAGCAAACTAAAATCCAACCATCATCTTTATCATTCATCATCTTAAACCGTCTTATTAAGTTCTTTCCAAAACCAAAACTCAATCAACCTCAAGCAAATTACAACTTTGACCTGTAAACTCCAAAATAAATCAAGCTCTAATGGACTTCAAGCAAATTACAAGAAGGCTAATCCCATCATAACAGGAAAATAAATAAACGAAACAGATTTAGTTGCTCTCTTTATAAGTTCATCATGTTTATTTCCATATCCATTGCAGCCTTTGTCATTTACTTCAGTATTTCAATTTAAATGTCTTTTGGTTCTTATCATTTAAGCATATCACGAGTGAAGCTATATTTGTTTACTTTCTTTGTCTCATGTTACTTGCTTTGTTTCATTTAGTATACTCAAAAACACATACACCACGCTATCATCCATACCAAAGCAGAATCATCAATTCGAATCTAGCATTAAAACTGAGCTTCTAAATTAAACCACTCCCTAAATCGATTCTGCTAAAAACAGAATCCCAAAACAACCTTTTGTTCCTTCCCTACTCGATCATGAGCAATGGCCATGAATGAGATTTTGAAAACTCTTAGAAACATACCCCAGGTTATCCTAATTATCAGATAAAAACTCCGTAGCAGAAATACAAAACAAAGAAAAACAAATCAAAATAAAAGCCAGAATCCGCCTAACTTACCATCGGATTCCCACTTGTCGGCGTTCATCATAGCCGCGTTTGTTCACCCTCTCTTCCCATGTTATCCGTACTCCTTCTTCCCTCACCCGGATAGAAAACCCAAAAGAAAGAGCAGAACAAAAACCAAAATCAGAATCCAAAGCTAAACAAACACTACAAAATCAACAAAGGTGGCCCTTACCGGATTTGTGACTCCATCCGTCGTCATTTGAGTTCGCTCAGGCTGCTCAGTAGTCGACGGCGACGGCGGCTCCCTTACTTCCACCCCTCTCGTCTGAAACCCCAAACCAAATAAAAAAAGTCAGAACTATAAAACTTCCCAGATATCAAAATAGAAAGAAACAGAAGCTTACCCAGAAAATCGAATTCCACAGAGGGCTTCTCTCCCTTGCGGCCGTTAGAATCCCTCACCGCCAGCTGACCCCATTTCCGATTCTCCTCTCGGCGAGAATCAAAACAAAAAACCAAAATACAATCAAGAACCAAAACACAGTCAGAACCCTAAACTCCAAATAAATCGAAATCGCCAATTGAAAACCCAAAAACGACATGCAAACCCCAAGTGAAACTATTACCTTTACCGTCGTTCGATCGTCATCACCGGCGTCCACCACCGTCGTTTCTCCCTCATCGTTGTCGTTTTGCTTTTCTTCCTTGCTCCTCGTGTTTCAGTAGAAACGAACGGAGAAGGAGATGGTCGATCGGAATACGAAAAGAAGTGAGAAGGAGAGAGGCGGCGGTTTGGGTCGATTTAGAGGAGAGCTCGGGTTCATGTTTGTTCGTTTTTGGAGGAGAGACGAACAGAGCGAGATAGAGAGAGGAAGATGATATTCGAGAATAGAGGAGCAGCCATTTAGCGACTAGGGTTTCTCCAAATGAGTAAATATACCCTCGAGCGCCAAATGACCAATTTACCCCTTCCTAGTTTCGACTAATTACCCGCTGCCACTCTCGGATTGCTTCCGTGAAATCCAAAAAATTATGGTCTCTTAAGTTTCGAACCATGGACCTGAACCTCACTTGTGTTGCTTAAAGTCAGGGCAATCAACCACTAAGTTATGTTATCATACTTGAACTTTAATCTCTTCATTTCAATTTATCTGTGCTTAATCTTAATACGCAATATTTCTAATCTTGCTAAGATTTTTTTTTTATTTTTTTCTTTGACCAAACTATGTATGTCTCTAAATATTTCAAGAAGTGGTAACCCTTAGGTTATCACATTCTCTTTGGCTTCATTATTTATACCTATGCTCGTTTTACTTAGAAAATATCTTAATACGAAATCATGATAAACAAACCGAAATAGTTACTCTCGATGGAATCATTTGAAAGATGGTTTTACCATTCAACTACTAAGTTGAAACATCATAAATACATTACCTAACAAATCAAATTATCATCTTAGCCACGATCAATAGAACGTGTTAAGATCGCCTCTACAAAACAAATCAATTAAACGAACTACGTGGACTTTGATCCCGACTTCTCGGGTACGTAGGCAACCAATAGGTTCGAGTCCAACTAACCAAAAAATCTTTCTTTAATTTTGAGAATTACGTCAATAGATGTATGATCAAATATTAATAACTATCTAATTAATCAAATCATATAATTAAATACATTAATAAAGCCGCAAATAATAATACACCCAACCCTTAAAAACTTATCGATTTAAGTAGTACCCATTTAGGGGAGTTGTGGGGCGTGAATACACTTCCCCACACGTAACCGTACTCCCGAACCCAAAATCTCAAAATTCGCAGACCAAATCCCGGTTTCGACCCTGAGGTCGAGACCGGGCCAAAATGGTGTTCGACCCACCACATCTAAGGTCGATGGCGACTCCGAGCAATTCAAGATGGATTCCCCCAAAATCGGAGGTGCGGTTGCGACAGTATAGGTATGAGAATCTATCCCTACTTTCCCGGCTAACAAGCACACAATAATAAGTGCCTAAATTCACATACTCATCAATAGATGAATGGCTACTAATACCCCCCAAAGTGAGGCTCTAGATAGGAATAAAAAGTTGATGAGAAAGTGTATAAAAGAACCGTGAGAGCACCGGTCCTTTCACCTACCTTTGAGAGCTTTGTTTTGCACCTTGCAGTGGTCTCATTTGATTTCATCACATGCCTTTTGGAATTTACCGAATTGAATCAAGCAAGGGTGTAGGTAGCCATGCAAAGCTGGTCACTACAACCCCGACTCCGACGAAACACATGAGGAGAAGAGAAATAAGAGGCTTCAAGCTGCATGATATGATTACGTGTTTGTTTTGGGACAACCAAGCGCCTAAGTGTGTGGGAGTTGATAACACCCAAAAAGGTGTTATTTGCCTTCATGTATTAGGTGTCTTGATGTCGTTTTGGAGCATGAATTGATCTTTAAAACATTGTTTATAGCCTAGATTGTTTACTCTTATGTTATCGTGTCGCTTTAGGTTACATTTGATGTTACAAGCGAAAAGGGGAGAAACTGGGGCTAATGTGCAGGAAGAAAAAGTGAAAAGGAGCTAACATCAAGATCTCAGCCTAAGGAGCGTAATCTCGAGTAATGGGACAAAGTGGAGTGTAACATCTAATGCAATATGTTGTGACAGCCCGTTATAGAGTAATGGGAAAATGTACATGGGAGATCGGATAGCTTTATCGCATTGATTTACATCTTTTCATTACTTCCATCCTCCCATGTACGTCCCTTCAATGGCTGAGGTATAGGTATGAGAATCTATCCCTACTTTCCCGGCTAACAAGCACACAATAATAAGTGCCTAAATTCACATACTCATCAATAGATGAATGGCTACTAAAAACCCCCAAAGTGAGGCTCTAGATAGGAATAAAAAGTTGCGGAGAAAGTGTAGAAAAGAACCGTGAGAGCACCAGTCCTTTCACCTACCTTTGAGAGCTTTGTTTTGCACCTTGCGGTGGTCTCATTTGATTTCATCACATGCCTTTTGGGATTTTGCGAATTGAGTCAAGCAAGGGTGGAGGTAGCCAAGCAAAGCTGGTCACTAGAATCCCGGCTCCGACGAAACACATGAGGAGAAGAGAAATAAGAGGCTTCAAGTTGCATGATTTGATCACTTGTTTGTTTGGGGACAACCAAGCGCCTAAGTTTGTGGGAGTTGATAACACCCAAAAAGGTGTTATTTTGCCTTCATGTATTAGGTGTTTTGATGTCGTTTTGGAGCATGAATTGATCTTTAAAACATCGTTTATAGCCTAGATTGTTTCCTCTTATTTTATCGTGTCGTTTCAGGTTACATTTGATGTTACAAACGAAAAGGGAAGAAACTGGGGCTAATGAGTAGGAAGAAAAAGTGAAAAGGAGCAAACATCTAGATCTCAGCCTAAGGAGCGTGATCTCGACCGAGAAGCTACCCCACGTTGTCTAGCCAAGAGATCACGGGCCAAAACTGGAAAATCATGGGCGCTAACTAGGACCCTTTGGGCGTGAACTTATGGAGGAGGCATCAGAAGGAGAACAACAATTTCGCTAGGCAGATCGTAGAACATGTTAAGTGAAACTGCGATATAGATCATGGACACGAGACTGAGTTCGCGGTCGCAAACAATGGGCGCAATCTCCCACTATGCCAAGACTATTCGTTTGAGCTCATGATCGCGGGATGGCATGACAAGATCACGACTGTGATCTTTCAGCCCTTGGTCGTGAACTTGCTCACGTTTTTAAGAGCCTATAAATAGAAGAGTTTTTGCACTTATTTGAGAGAGTCGACCTAGAGTGAGAAAATTTGGGTTTAGGAGAAATTTTAGGAGGAGAAACACCTTGGTAGAGCTTAGAGGAAGATCCAATCCACCCAAGTAGCAAGAATAAGGTGCAACCCAAGGAGAAGAAGATGATTTCCACCATTCCTCATCTTCTTAGTTTGTATTTTCTTTCTCTCTCTATGACTTGAATCTCTAAGGTTGTTTAGGAAAGATGAACCCTAGTTTATAGTTTGGGTTTATAAATTGATATATTTCTTTTAATAATTGTATGCTTGATTATGCTTGGGTAAGTAGCCCAACTCTTCCCTACTAGCATACAACTCAGTTTAACACTAGGTGGGAATTTTAGGGTTAGACTAGGTATCGCCAAATGACTAATTAAGGGTAGATGAATGATATTAGGGTTCCTTAGTGGATGTGGCGACCAAACCCCTGCTATAGGATTGCCTTCCTAAAACAATGCTAGATATCTTGCACGTGTTTTGTTGAAGCACTAATCTAGTATGCATGATAGGTAAAACCTGTGGAGAGGAACTATGAGAGCAACCGTAGCACATAAACTTAAACTGAGGTGAAATTGGGTTTTTGTGGGCCATGTTAGGAGGAGGGAGAGTAATCACTGAAATCCCCATATTAGAGAGTTCTGCATCCTATCCTATAAATCCAAAACTATAGCTAGAGGAATTCAATCATAGGCACTCATCTCTAGCAGTCTCCAACCCACTTGGTTGGTTATTTTGTTTTTTTAGTTAGGTTAGATTTGAACTTCACCCAACCCTCCGAATTGATTAGATAGTAGTTCGGAGGGAAGTAATAATAAGCTTAAGGTTTCCTTGGAATATGACCGAGCCACTTTACTACAATCCCTACTTAGTTATACTTGGCTTTGTTAGGATTGACTAGTGAGTGTGCTTCTACTTATAAATTTTAAATTTCTCACCAATGACACTCTCCATTAGTCTTTGAAGATCATGCTCTCATTGGTTGGCTAAACGAGTTTTGATGGCCAGTCAACATCCCATTCAATTGCATTCATCTTTGTTGGCACCATGGGATATGGGTTGAATCAATTGTGTTGATGATGGTGGAGGAACTCTCGATATTCCTCCGGTGCTTCGTACTCCAACTCCTCGATCTTCTCTAGAAATGTCTTGGTCCTTGTACTGGCTATTTTGAGTGTCATTTATGGTATGTTCAAATCTGGAGTTGGTGGAGCTTCTTTCAACTAGCCTCTCTACATTAGCTCTTCATCATAATGATGATATGTTGCATGTAAGGAATCCTTATGATATGTTGATCTCTTTTTCCGAATCCATCTCTTCCTTCTCCTCAAAATCATCATCAATGATGCTTTGATTTGTATCCTCATCTTTAATAGACTTCACTATTTGACACATGATTTTTCCCACTTGTAGTGTAATCTATCCTCTTACTACATTTATCAAGGCAACAACAGTGGCCAAAAATTATCTACCAACTATCAAGGAGTATGGGGTCTCTTGAAAGAAGATGAATGGTCTAATTTGGGTGCTCAATCAGTAAACTACTCCAAGAGGTTGACATGGAGTGTTGTTTGCTGACTTAATATCCTTTTGTATCTCCTCAATGTCGGCTAGACCCACCAATCCTTGCTCTAGATAATGGTCAAGTATGAGACAATTGATAATGCAATACCAGTATCCTCTTTTTCATCATGTACTCGAATGAGTTCTTCATGTGCAGAAGGATTTGATTCAATGGTATTTTTCTCAATATTCTCTTTCTCTAAAAGTTTTCGAGTTTTTCCGTTGAGTTCATGGAAGTAATGCTCTCCAGTAGTGGCACGAGAGATGGTCCTATTTGAACCCTTCTTCATGTAGGAAAATGAAACTTCGTGACGACTAGTAGTGTAGCTTGGCAGTAGGTGGGTGACGAATGCAGGTGCCTCTCTTTTTTCCTTCCCCATTTCCTGTTTTCTCTGCTTCTTCTTGAAGGATTCCATCATATGAGAGGGTTTTGGTAGCATTGGATCTTCGTACTCCATTTCTCCCTTTTATTTCCTATAGATTTTGATTTTCAATAAAAAAAGGAAACATAAAAGCAACAAAACAAAAGGAAAGCAAGTGCTTCTCCTCATTGACATGAAATTGAAAATAAAGTATAAAAGTTAAAGAAATTTTGGGTTGTCTCCTTTGCAAGACTTTCATTTTACATCCTTAAGTTGGATTCCATAAATGGGTTGCCTCCCATGAATTTCTTTTATTTCTTTGAGCTATGCATAGATCTTGATTCTTCAAGCTCTCCAACTTAGGCTATTTTGAAGTCCATCATTTTGATTGTTGGCTCCAGCTATGTGGCATTCTTCATGCTCCATTTAAAGTTGATCATCCTTGATTGAATTCTCCTTCATTATCTCTTGTTCAATGTTCGGTTCCAAGGTTTTTGTTGAAATTCAAATAAGAAGGTGAAAGGGGGTCATCATACTCGAAGTCTTCCTCCTGGATGTTTCCAATAATGGATGCCTTGGTTGGTGGATTTCTCCTGCATGTAGATTGAATAAGGAATGGGAAGTGTTCAAACCCTCATGGGAGGGGTTCAACCTTCAACTTCTTCTCCTGAATCCAAAAAGGTTTGGGTTAGTGAAACCTTCAACTTCTTCCAATGAATCCAAAAAAGGATTGGATTAGTGTAAGCTCTTCAACACTGCAGCCTTCTTCCTCTATTGCTACTCCTAGGGGTTGTATCTTGTATTCTCCTTTTTAAATTTTAATTTGATCACGATATTGTCCTTGGTGGGGGAAAGATAAGGGTGGAACAAAGCTATCAAATATGGCAAGTGAAGAATCGGACTAGAGAGTGGACCATCTTGGTCGGGAGAGGACGAGCTATCACAAGGGGAAAACACATACACCAACATAAACTCACCAGCATGGGCATGACGATGTTGGGGTGGAGATTTATTAGAAGCCTCAGTCAGCTCCTTTGTCTTTGAAGCTATTGATCTCATCTGAGCACCTAGCTGCACTCTGGCTATGAACGAACACCCCTCTATGTTTGGATGAGACCCATATGTGAGAGGGTCCCCTCTGGGACATCTCTGACTCTTCAAAACTGGTGTATACCTTCTTGCACCCCAAAATTGGGAAAGAGGTCGCCACCACTGATCCAGGATGGAGTATCTGGGGTTATCACCTCCCTTGGGACATCTTTGAACTCAACATCTTAGGTCTCCAACTCTTGTTTGGTGTTAGTCTTTGCCACCACGCGAGGATCCTTAACCTGCACCCCATCACTTGAAACAGACACACAAGATTTTTCCAACTCATGGGTTATAAAATTGACCAAGTTAGACTTGCCCTTCAAGGGCTTAGGTTTCTCCTTCACATTTCCCTTGTCAACTTTTCATCCAAGGGTATATTATCAACATTAATGAGCAATGGAGAAGGTGATACGCTCATCACCCATGCTCAATATCATTGTACCCTCGTCAACATCTATCAAATCCTTGGAGGTGGCTAGGAAGGGACATCCTAGTGTAAGTGGGACTTCAATATCCTAGTTGATATCGAGGATCTCAAAATCCATAGCTAAATAGAAATTTCCCAATTGTACTAGGATTTCCTCCGCTATGCCCCTAAGTTGTACCATAATCTATCAGCTAGATGCACATTCATTGCACTTTCCGTCGACCCAATTTGGAGTTGCGGAAGGATGGAGAAGGTGATACGCTCATCACCCATGCTCAATATCATTGTACCCTCGTCAACATCTATCAAATCCTTGGAGGTGGCTAGGAAGGGACATCCTAGTGTAAGTGGGACTTCAATATCCTAGTTGATATCGAGGATCTCAAAATCCATAGCTAAATAGAAATTTCCCAATTGTACTAGGATTTCCTCCGCTATGCCCCTAAGTTGTACCATAATCTATCAGCTAGATGCACATTCATTGCACTTTCCGTCGACCCAATTTGGAGTTGCGGAAGGATGGAGAAGGTGATACGCTCATCACCCATGCTCAATATCATTGTACCCTCGTCAACATCTATCAAATCCTTGGAGGTGGCTAGGAAGGGACATCCTAGTGTAAGTGGGACTTCAATATCCTAGTTGATATCGAGGATCTCAAAATCCATAGCTAAATAGAAATTTCCCAATTGTACTAGGATTTCCTCCGCTATGCCCCTAAGTTGTACCATAATCTATCAGCTAGATGCACATTCATTGCACTTTCCGTCGACCCAATTTGGAGTTGCGGAAGGATTATTGCAATCGACTATGGGGAAGATGTTGTTGGTGGTGATGTCATCGCTGCTGATCCGCAACATGAGACTTTGTCACGCGACCAACTGAGAACACGATGCTAACAACATTTAAGATTCAGCGTCCAGGGATGATTAAGATCCTGAGGTCGGTGTTGGTGATGACACATTATATCTCTTACCAAATGTATGCATGTGTTTAGCCCGCCTTTTAGAAGTGATTGATGTTTCAAAAGCTGAAGTCAGGCTAAAATTTCGCGGGGTGGGCAACGGAAAATGGGTATTGGGTATACCCGTACCTGTCCCTTTTTTAGGGTTACGGGTACCCAAATACCCGTATTTTTTTACAGGATGGGACTTGGGATCAAGAATTGCTACTTTGTTTAGCTGCGGGTTACCTGTTAATACCCGTTTGGGTATTACGAGTATCCGTTATACCCATTAGTCCAAAATATATGTTGCATCCTTAGAGGGGAGCCAAATATATGTACTTTGAGAAAGGGGATAGTTGAGCAAGCAGTACGGGTTTGGGATAGGTACGCCACACAAAGAAGATGAACGCCACCACTACCACCATCTAGTCAAATTTCCTTTCTCGGATTTGTTGCTACTCCCAATTAGACGGGTATTAACGGGTAGTACGGATACCCGTTATTCGTCCGTATGGGTAATGGGTACCCGTTATCCTTCCCGTACGGGTAATGGGTACCCGTTAACCAGTACGGGTTTGGGATATGTGATGGAGATTGCTCTCCAAATGTGACCGGGTACCCGTTTCAAACGGAATGCCCACCCCTAAGAATTTCTAATAGCTCGAATTTTGAAAATTCTTAAAAGTGTTTTTTATTAAAAAAAAAGCAGAATCTCCAATTTGGAACTTATGCAGAAAATATTTTGAAAATACTATATTTTTATTATCATTTTTAATTTTTCAAAATACATAATTTTCATTCAT